AAGCCAGAGGTGGCTATCAATATCCCCAAAATACCCTTACATTATCTCATTCAACACTTCAACCATCGCACTACTATCATGACCCTGCTGCCAGCAATTACCTTTAGTTATCGGTGACGACTTTCGACCTCCGGTGGCCAGCTCCAATCTCTGGCAGCCACCTCCGGCCGCTGTCTCTAACTACCAGCAACTACCTTTGATCTTCGGTGACTTTGGATGATATTTTTCCAACCATTTTCCAACAAAAACAATGTTCATCTCCACCATATCAGTACTACCACCACTTCCTTAGTTCTACCAGCAACAAAAGAGAGAGAGAGAGAGAGAGAGAGAGAGACATAAATATTTAGTTATGATGAGGAAAAATAAAGTATTTACCAAAAAATAATTCACATTGTCTTCACCATCATAGATCAATACCAGATCAACAAAAGAATTAAAGATATATTTAGTGATAAATTTATTACTGATTAATTTGTAAAAAATTACAGATGATAATTCACTCACTCACATTTACATTCACACTTACACTCATTTACTTGCAAGACACTCATCGTATATACACACATAAATAAATATTGATAAATTTATCATTGAAAAATAATTTTATAGTAGATCTAGTTTGAAAAATAAAGAGATAAAGAAAGAGAGAGGTAGAAAGGAAAAACAGAGGTAAGATTTGTAAAACAATATTGCTTGAAGTCATTTGGAGTTGATTGGTCGGCAATGGTAGCGATGGTGGTAGTAGTGTGAGGTTCTTGGAGAAAAGCTGTAGAGAGAGAGAGGGTGTAAAAGAAGAATATTAGGGTTTATTGGTGCATCAAAAGATGTGTGGGACCTATTGGTATTTAAGTTCATTAAATAGGATTGGACAGTAACTACAATATTACGAATCTAAACTTAACTATTTAGAATTATCGTGTGGTTCAAATTTATTTTACATATGGACCCCACATTACATAAATTTATCGGTGAATTATAGCCATACTTCCTCAAGTTTGACACTTGTTTCATTTTAGTCCAATTAAGTCCCTCAAGATTCAATTCCAAATCAATTTAGTCCTTGAAGGAATATAGAAAAAATAATTAATTACCTAAAAGTCCTATTTACATATTTGGTGGTAGCTTGGGTCCTGTCAAAAAGTTTTTGATCCAATTAGTCCCATTTACAAGTAAAAAGATGTTTTGCCCTTTAATTCCAAAACTGAGAATGTTCTCAATTTCAAAACTGAGAATGTTCTCAATTTATAATTATCAAAACTAAGAAATTTCTCAATTTTTTTCTAATATGAACTGAGAATATTATCAAAACTATCAAAACTAAGAAATTTATAATTATCAATTTTGAGGAATTTCTCAATTTTTTTTCATGATTAAAATTGAGAATATTATAAACTGAGAAGGTTCTCAATTTCAAAAACCCTAGATCTCTCTCTCTTTCTCTCTCTTTTTTTCTCTCTCTAATGGCAGTGGCATTTGTGAACTTAGTGAAAACCGAGATCTCACAATCAATGGACTCATTGGAAGATTCCAGGAGCACGTTGATCTCAAAGGAGGATTCCTTCCAACTCGATTCTACGGAATTAGAGTGAAAAGCTAGCGGGAAGCCTGCAAGTCCTTCTAAGCTCCAACTGCCTAAAACCTTACTCTACACCCATACATAGAAAAAACCATAAATGAGTCTGACCAATGGCTTTAGAAAGGAAAATGAAAACGAACCAAAGGCGACTGACCCGGTGGGTTTGGCGGTACCGGTGGAGTGACGGGTTTCTTTCACGGCTTTGCTGGAATCTTACGAACTGAATGGAGAGTAGAATGAAAAGAGGACAGAAGGGAGAAGGAAGATGACATCGAGACAGCTTGCCTGGAGTTTGTTGGAATGGTAGATTGGTCTATTAAAAAATTAATGGGACTTGAAGGAGCAAATAATTTTACCTAGGACTTAATGGATTATAAGTTCACAAAATGGGACTTGTATGTAAATGGCCCTAGAAATAAACTATAAACCTAGAAGTTCTATTAATTACTATAAGGCCCTATTTCCCTATTAATATAATTATATAATCCCTGTAAAATTGTGTGTTTAAAATTGACATTAGAGCCTGGTTTCTCAACCTTGCCAATATAAATATATGAGTATTAAATATACTGAAGAAGTTGAATTAGATAATTTAAATAGTAGTATTTCACTACAAATAATAATTAAACAAAATAATACTATAATCAAGTTAGTAAAAGAACTTAATGATAATCTTAAGGAAAATCAACTACAAATTATACACAAAATTCGACATCTACTATTAAATAAATGTAAACAATTAGCTATTGTAGAAAGTAAGGAAGAAAAAACCGCAAACAATTATCTTTATCCTTATAGGGAGGATTCTCCAAAGGAACCTTTTAAATTAATATCACCAGAAAAACGAAAAATTAATGTCTAATAAAATAAAATAAAAATTAAAAAAAAAAGTTATTGTTATAATATGACAAGACTTAAGCGGCAAGAATATAATAATTAAAATCTTAAGGCCAATATTGTAAAGCAAAAAGGATCAAAGTGGAACAAAGTATAACATATAAGGACCAAATTAACAAAATTCAAAGTATAAGACCAAACTAAAACTGTGAGGAAACTAAGAGGAATCATTGATGTAATTGGCCTTAAATTTAGAGGTTGTTTGGGATGACTTAAATAAGTGCACTTTTTGTCTTTTTACGAAAAGATGTACAAAAAAGTAGAGAAGTGATGTGATGAAAAAAAGATAAAAAGATGAAAAGATGAATTATTTGAGGTATGCCAAACTTACCCTTAATCTTCACTGCACAATCACCAACCTAGAAAATTGGCAGACTTTTTTCGAACAGTAATTATCCCTTGAATTTGGTTTATTGGCCCAAGTTGCACCCTTGGCTTTGTTTGGTTTAGTTTTCTAAAAACTATTTTTAAATGGGGCATTTATGCATAAATTTTAATTTATGAATTTATACTCCATTAAGTCTTAATTAAGGTTTTTTGTACCTTCAAATCTCATTAAATTTTTAATAGTTGGATTGTTTATCATTTATGATTATCTATAAAGAAACATGATGATTTGACATTTATTTTGATTTTCAAAACTTTAAAATATCAACTTTAAAATTTAAAAAAATAAAAAAAAATTATGTGCAAAAAAAAAAACTATGTTTTTTTTTGAAAAAATTGATTATTTTTTGTGCAAAACTGAAAATTTTGGGTCTATAACATAATGATGGAACATTGATGTGCAAAACTGAAAAAAAAATTTAAAAATGAAAAAATTGATAATGTTATGAGCTTTAAAATTGAAAAAAATGATAATATTTTCAGTTTTATTAGATAGTTGAATCAAACCAATAAGTAGAAAGGCAAAAAAGTTTAATCACATGTTTTGTTGTTGTTTTTTTTTTTTTTTCTATTAGTTAGTGAAACATTTATTTGGAACATTACTATGCAAAATTGATAATATTCTTAGTTTTATAAATTGGAAAAAATTGATAATATTCTCAGTTTTACTAAATAGGACTTATTAGTTCAAAAAATCTTAAATATGACCTGACCTACCATAACATTTGTAAATAGGACTTTTAGGTAATTAACTCTTTTTAAATAGACTTTTGTTTGTTTTTAGTGATTTTATTTCATATTTTAGTCAAATTTTTTTAATACTTTTTAGATATATCAAGATTAAATATATCTAAAAAGAATAAAAATTGACTAAAATATGAAGAAAAAAAAATTACTAAAAACAAATAAAAACTCGAAAAAAAATACACACACATTTGTGTTTATTTTTAGTGATTTTTTAAAAATAATTTAGCCAATTTATTTGTCTTTTTAGGGTTGGTTTGGGAAGTGAGTTGACTTTTTGACTTTTTTAGCTATTTTAGCCTGGGCTAAAAAGTTTGGTTTGGAAAGGACTTTTTGGCTTTTTTGATTTTTTTTGTGAGAGAAGAGTGTAATGATTATGGGTTGAATGTGATGTTTTATTTTTTGTGGCTAAAATAGCCTATTTTATTTTTTGTGACTAAAATAGCCAAAAAAGTCTCAACCAAGGCTTCCCAAACGAAGCCTTAGATGCATCATCTAAAAAATACAAAAGATTGATTAAAATATTAAAAAAATCATTAAAAATAAATGAAAAATGGTCTAAACAATTTTAAAAAAAATTAAAACAAACAGACACATCTAAACTTTGATTTGTTGGAGCAAGGATCCTCTCCTTGGCTTTTTATTTTGACGGGTCATTGGGCCTATTTTTGAGTCCAATTTCGATAATTCGAACCATTCATATTTTAAGATTTGTTATGTATATTATACATATAAAAAATTAAGTTGATCGGATATCGAAAGAATTAAAAATCATTTATTACAAAAAATTTAATAAATAATTTTATTGTTTAATAAATCTTTTAGGCCCCGTTTGTTTTGGGAGATAGAATGGAGGGGATTGATAGTGAGGGTATTAATAGTGAGGGGATTGATAGTGAGGGGATTAATAATGAGGAATTGTTAAATTATTTTTATATAAAATAATAAAAAAAATAAAAAAATAAAAAAATTTAAACATTATATTTGAAAAAAATTCCCAATATATAAAAAATAAAAAAATTTCTAATCCCCTCGCTATTTTCTAATACCATCTCTACCTCCTCTTTACCAATCCCCCTTCTAAGGGTATTAGTAATACCAAGGGACTAATAGTCTCAAGGCTATCTCTGGAAACAAACAAGGGCATTAGTAATACCTTGGTATTACTAGTCCCAATACCCTCCCTATAACCTAAAACAAACGGGGCCTTAGTTCACGTAATTTTTGATATTTAATCTAATTAAGTTTTTACAAGTATAATATATATAACAAATACTAAAATGTAAACTATTCGAATCATAAAAATTAAGTTAAAAAATAGACTCAATAACAATAACTCACCAAGTAAAGAGCCAGGAAAGGATCCAAGATAGAATCCTTGCTCGATTTGTTGGCCAAAAGTTTTAGAAATATACGTGGCTTGAGTACTCTATATTATTTCCGGTGGACCTACTCTCTCATTATTCAAAAAAAACAAAAAATCTAATTTAAAGAATTTTAAATGTTTAGGGTTTTGTGGGTGATTGAACGGAGTTATACTTGCTGTCTGCAATTATAATCTCTCTACTGGGTTTGTATTTTCAGAAAGCAGTCGTCATGGCGATGTTCGTTTATTCGTATTCTTATACCGAAGACATGCCTACCGTGAGTTCTTCTCCCTTTCTTTACTTGCTTATTTTGTGATTTTCTTTTTGAAAAATAATATACAAACTCATTTTTTATTATCTATTTTTTAGATTTAAGGATAGGTAAGTCATATAATTGATTGATAATTAAAGAAAATATGAGAGAGGGTTACTTTTAGGCCAAGTTTGGCAACTCAAAATAAGTACACACTTTTTATTTTTTTATCTTTTTTTTTATCATATCACTTCTCTACTTTTCTGCACATCTTTTTATAAAAAGACAAAAAATATACTTATTTAGATCATCCTAAACCACCTTTAATATTCTAATGACTGTCACATTACTAACAGTAAAAATTGAAAGTTTGTTTGGCATGTGTTAAAATAATATTTTACCACTATATCTTATTTGGGTACGTTACCTCCATACTCCATCATTTTAATTCTAACAATATTTTACATTTTTCGTAAAAAAGTTAAAAAAGTATATCAATCTTACATTTATCAAATAAACCCCTGGGTCTAATTTTTGATTCTGAATAAAAATTTTTTTAATCGCATTTGTTCTAATCTATTTTTTTGTTTTGTTTTGGGGGTATAATTACTCAGTTGGAAGGAGTTAAGAAAGAAATATCAAAGATAGTTGGGTTGTCTGAAATCAAGTCACAACTAAACGAAATCGTCTTGAAAATAGAGGCCAATGAGAGGCGTTGTAGCTTGGGGTTCAGACGTCCTCCTCCAAAGCTTTTCCATATGGTTTTTCTTGGCAATTCTGGAACAGGTATGCTTGTAGATTTCGCTTTAATTTTTCTTTTTATTAATTATAGATTGTATGATTCAAATGTTAAAAAGAAACAGTCTATAAACATGCAACAGAGAATGTTATTTCTAGTTACTATAAAAATTTAATCAATCAATTTATTTATTTATTTTGGAAAATTACAAAAAAATTCTACAATTTGATCTATGTAACAAAATAAACACTGAATTTATAATTTTGTTGATTTAAACTTAAACTTCTGATTTTTTTTATATTTTTTCCAATCTAAACCATCTGTGTCTATTTTTTGATAGATAAAATCTACGAAGTACAAACACTTCTAAGAAGGTAATGTGTCCGTATTGGACACTTTCCGACATGTGTCCGACATTCTTCAAAACATGTCACGTTTTATGTTTATTTTAAAGATCTAGACACTCACTACAATAAATTATACATTTGGCAACTAAATTTGGCGACCAAAAGAAATTTAGGCTCCAAAGTGACATTTTTAGCAACTGAAAAATTTATGAGTCGGCGTTGGTTTAAGGTTTAGCTACTATATTATTTTAGTCGAGATATATTATTTATTGGCGACTAAAAAAAAATTTAGTCACTAAATATGAAGTAATAGGCGACTAAAAAAATTTTAGTCGGCGATAGTCTAGATTTTAGGTTACGAAATCTTGTTTTAGTCGTCGTATATTTGCAATTGGCGAAAAAAGGAAGTTTAATCGGCAAATAACAGGCATATTTTTTGGGTTACTCTTTGCCGACCAAATAATTTCGTTGGCAAATATGAACTTTTGGTGACGAAACAAATTTAGTTGTCGTATATCAATTTTTGCCAACAAAAAAAAAAAAATAGTAGCCAAACGATACTTTTAGCTACGAATATGTTAGTCACCATTAAAAAATCTTTGGCTACAAAAGGTTTAGTCATTATTTACATTACCTTTTCCGACAAATAGTAGTTTAGTCGCTAAAGGTAGAAAAAAAAATTTAGAGGGAAAGGAATTAATATTGGCGCCCCCTCTCTTCTCTGTAGACTTGAACACTTTTTTCTCTTTGTTCTCTCTCACACACAAAAGAACAGTCACCACCAAACCTCACCCCTGCTCACCCCTGATGCTTGCTACCGTCGCTGGCCACCGTCGCTCGTCACCGTTGCACATCACCACCGCCACCGCTGCAAATCACCACCGCCACTGTCGGAAATCATAAATTTTTTCTAGACAAAAACGGCCCTTCGAGGCAAGAGGTTTACCACAGACCCTCCGTAGACCACGACACGCCTTGGATGTCTTGGACGAACTTAGAACGTTGTTGGAGGGGGTGAATTCTTCATAAAACTCGCCAAGGATAGAGAGGCCGCTAATGCGATGAAGGTCCTATAAAGAGATCCCAAGTTCGCCATAAATGGTGTTAAAGGTGTTGGTGTCTGGCAATCATCGCTCTAAAAATCCTTTGAGTAGGGCGACATTCCTGGCATAAGAAAATTGGGATACATAGATTGCGGCATAAATTCCACACTTCTTTAAAATAGGGGAAAATGTGGAAAGCACGTCATTCAACCAAAAAGTCCATATAGGGGATTGAAGATGCGTAGAGATGCCGCAGACATTAAAAGAATTATTCCATTTCAATTTTTCATTTTTCATTCTCCTAAGAAGAGTATTAAATTTAGAGTAATCAAGGTCTTCAGAAAATGGACAGAGGATCGAGACAGGGAATGAACCCATTGATTTGGAGTGCCCTTTCTCAAGAATCTCACAGCAGTTTCGAATTTCTGTATAGACCAAGTCTTAGGAAGCCGTATGTAAATGGATGCAAGGGTCCAACTCTGCGGGTGATAATAAAGCAGTGATAGGTTTGTGCCTAATTATTTTCGGACTTGATTTATCCAATACATCCCTCTCTTCACGTCGAAGATATTCAAGTGTCTTTTCCATGTTGCCTAAAAAAAAAATACTGCAAATTTATATGAGGCTGTTGCCCAAAGTAGAGTTGCAGGAGTCATTTGGAAAATACAAGAGCCAATAAAGAGGTTGGTAGCAGTACTAGTTTGCTATAAAAAGAAGAAAGGGTTGGCCTATATTAAAAAAGGGTGCTTTCTGCTGTGTTGGTAAAGGACAATGAGACAAATATAAATGCAAGGTACGGTGTATACCCGATATAAGAAGGCTGCTTCTTTTCTAATTCAAAAGAAAAATGGACTGCTCTAAAAAAAAAAAAATAGAGAAGAAAAAAAGGGAGCTTCAGCTTCTGAAAACAGGGGTCGAGACTTCATTAGTAACAGGTGTTTTTTGTATCAGAAAGGACATTACTTGGGCTATTTTAAAGTCATGCTTGCATGACTCCAAAAAAAATAAGGCAGTAAACAGATCTTTACCATGACCGACAGACTCAAAAAAAAAAAAAAAAAAAAAAAAAAAAAAGAAAAATGAAAAAAAAAAGGCAGCCAGCCAAAAAAAATTGGGTGCTGCAGTTTTTAACATGCAGTCGATTGGACTTCAAGAAGGGTCTTTTTTGGACTATTGGGTTGTGGTCTAGCAAAATGGGATGATCTTTATTCATATTTAGGCCACATTTGTTAAACAAACATGGCAGCAGGTTATAACAAAAGCAAAAAAAAAACAAGTTCAAAGGTACGTGTAGAAAAATTTTTATGTGAGGGCTAAAGTAACAAAGGAGTCTCAGCATTTAAAAAATTTCTGAGACTGGCTTGAAGTCCTTGTCTTCAAAGAAAATAAAAAAAAAAATTTGCTGTTAAAGAGAGGAGGTTAGGATTCTTAAAAAAAGGGGGGGGGGGGGGGGGGGTTGCTGCTGTTTGAAAAAAACAGAAAAAGAAAAAGAAGAAAGACAAACAAAAGAAGGAAAATTACCTGATATGACCTTCTTGTGTCTTCTTAAAAATATAAGAAGAACAATTTCTGCTGGAAATATGAAGGGATTAGAAGGGAGTCTTTTGTATCCTCCAAGAACAAATTCTGCTGGAAAGATGAAGACCTAATATGCACTATAAAATCTGCAGGAGAAAAAAAAGGTTGCAGGGAAAAAAAATACATGGATAGGTGTTACGTAAAGCAAAAGGTCTTGCTTAAGAAAAGATGTAGTGGTCTTCTAAAATACTCCAAAGAAGCAAGAGTTTGAAGCAAGAGTTCATGTAGGATTAGAAATCCTATCACTGCCAATCCATCCTATTTCATTTAGGCAAACTCCTAGCAAAAATCTGCTGTAAAAAAAATGGACTGATCTTGCAAATCAGTGCAAAAAGAAAAAGAAAAAGAAAAAGAAGGGACCCATGCAAAAAATAAAAAATAAAAGGCCCATGGACTATAAAGAGCAATCAACCCTTAAAAAAAAAAATAAAAAAAAAAATAAAAAGGAGAGGATTAATCCTTTGGGGGCTCCATGTATGGCATAGCAAAGTTGTTAAAAAAAAATAAAAAATATACAAAGCCTGAAAAATGGCTGAAAGGGACCAAGGCCAAGAAGTAATCCCATCCAAGATCTAAAGAGGATCTAGATAAAAGTGCCAAATTGTCGTGACTCACAGTTAAGAAAATTCACTTGTGCAAGTCACGAGGGGGCATTTGTTGGCATATCAATTTCAACTAAATTTATGTTCAAATTTCAAATACGGTCAATCAGTTAATGACACACATAGAGCCTATGATAGGATGTTGCATTGTTTTCAAACCCGGACCGGACCGGCCGGTCGGACCGGGAATCGGGCCTTGTTCCGGTCCGGTCAACCACCTAAATCTGGAGTGGGGCCAAAACCGGGAAAACCCGGCGACCCAGTGGTCGAACCGGTAAAATCGGTGACCCAGATCGGGTCGGGAGGGTCAGACCGGTTTCTTTTTTTCTTTCTTTTCTCTTTTTCTTTCTTTCTTATATATTTATATATATATATATATATATATATGTATATAAATATATTTCAAAATTTTTACTAAAAATTCTTATTTCAAGAGTCTCCTCTCATAAGGAAGAGTCTCATTGAAAGCTTGAGAAGATTATGAAAGTCTATTCCTATTTATAGGAAAAGATTTTTCAAAGAGAACCTACAAAATTCTATGTGGGATTCAATCAAATTATTTGAAACATATTGATTGGAGGGAGAGTTGAAAATTTCATTTCCCTCCAAAATTAAATCTAGCATTCAATCAATTTATTTGGAGGGAATGTCTAAAAATTTTAATTTCTTTAAAACAAGTGACTTTTTTTTATCAATTATGACTTTATTAAATATTATTAATAAATACTATGCAACAATTTTTATTTTTATTTGAGTATTTATATATATTTT